AATATGATGCTACGCATTCGCACCAAATGAAGAGCATTACCCATCATCCAGTCTACTCTATCATATGTATAGTGTATAGCTATTATATATACATATATACAAATATATATATATATATATATATATATATATATATATTGTGTTTGTATATTAACTGCCCTTAGGATATTTTCACGCATAGGTGGTTCCTAAATAAACACGTTTATCCTTAGGGTGAACTCACAAATAATATTGATGAAAATTGTCTATTTTCTTAGTTATCAGCAGACGATTCTTGATAATTACTACATGTTATATTATTTTAGCGCCAAATCACTGACAAATCTTGGTAATATTATTGTGAGACGCTTATTGATCTGTTCAAATAATAAAATCAGTCCAATCTTTGTACGTAAAAAACAAAGTGCTTTTTTTATCTGGACTTGGGACAAACAGAATAAGGAAGATATCCCTCGAGTTGCAAGAGACGTGCCAATTCGAAATAAAAAAATATATGTAAACTATATTTTTACCTTTACATCAACCCTATGCATGTTTTATTTGCGTCCGAATGGCATATAAAATTGAAAAAGGAGCATATAATGTTGCTAATAAAAAATGCATCAAGCAGAAACGTAAAAAATTGCGAGTAATGCGAAAGATGATAAAACTAGATACTTTTGTGATATATAAACACTTGCAGGCCTTTTTACGGTGACGATAATAAAGTTTTACTTGCTTTTTGTATATTAACGAGTTTGAACATACGCAAAGAGACATTACTAATTTAATTGCTAATTTAATTTTTTACTAAAACTATGAAATTTATAAAAACCATTGTACTTGTTCCAAAGAATCTGATAATGTATGTATTGATTTTTATAATAAAGTTATGAAGACAGCCTGAAATAGTGATGTCTGATGGCAATGACAGTCAATGAAATAGTAACAAATGATCATTTGTCTAAATTTGATTAATGCGATTTTCTGTCATCTAAAGTAAATTATAATATATCACCTAATTTTCAATAAATATTATTATTTACTACAGTTTGCATATGAGTAAATAATAATGTTTGTTAAAATTCAAATCAGTTTCCGCTGTTTCATATTGCAGGTTATTGAAAAAAAAAAAAAATCATTTATTTTTTAAGGTCACATAATAATTTATTTTAATATTTTGGATAGTTAATATTTTTTAGGTTATTTTTCTGAAAAAAAGTTTATAGTTTTTTTTTAGTAAATATTAATATTTATTATAGTTATATAGTTATCGTCAATAATAGAGAAACGTAGTAACTAGATTATATACTTTGCATTATACACATTATATACATTGCATTATACACATGATAGCATATATTTTAATATAATCGAATTTAATATAATCTGTAATTTTTGAATATCTTTACGTTTGAAAACCTTTGAACATTTTGGCACACCTTAGAAACAATGAATATATGTGTGTGTATGTGTGTAGTTTGTATGTATGTGCGGATACAATTTTTCGCCGACGTTTTCGAGTGCACGGATCAACCGATTTGAATCATTCAAAAAACATTCGATTCCTATTGATGGGGAGATGTGCTGATTAGTTTTTGGCAAAGGCATTTTTATCTGTTTTGAAGATACGGGGCATACAGTGACATTTGTCATTTTTGACAAATCAGTATTTGAGAGAACGGAGCATCTGATTTGGATGCCTAATAAAAGATTGTTTCAACACATATATTGATGGAATGAAAAATTGATTAAACCTTTGGGAAAGCAGTTTCAGCGATTTTGATGATCCATTAAAGAAAAGTCAAAAAATACCATCATATAATTTTATAGAGAATTTAATAATGAGAACAAACTTTGTATTTGATCCCACCAAATTTTTTTTTATTAAAAAAGCCGATTTTTCAACATTTCAAAAATGATTCAAATATCGCTAAAAATCTAATTTTAAAGCCTTTTAAAAATGTTAAATTACTGTATGGGAAGTTCTAGTCATTTGTCTTGAAACACGATATCACGCACTACTAGTTTATTATTAAAATTCAAATTATTATTTTCAACTTTGCTATGATGGATTAATCGTGATAATAACTAATTGATAATTTGTAGCCTATATTGATCGAAAATTGGTCATACTAAACGGCAAGTCGCTGTAAGAGAAGTCATTTTATCCGGATTTTTATAAGGTATATAATACACATAAATTTGGTAATGGATTAATATACGGTTGGTCAATATAGGCGGATTCATTATATACGGATTAGACTGTATATATATATATATACATATGTATATATGTATGGTGCATACATAACAACATCGTATGTATTTCAAGTATGTATGCGAGTCGTGCATTCTTCGAGGTGAACGCACGCGGTCAAGGCCGCGCACTGCGCGTGCGACAGAGACAGCCCGTGTCTGTCCGAACTGCCTGCCAGTCGAATGCGTCAGATCGGCGCAACCTTTTAGTTCTTCTCCATTCCCTAGGATGAACACATATCGAGGTTAGGGTCATTATTTGACCCATATGAATATGATATGAAACTCAGCTATCTGAGCAATGTCATGTTTCTACATAATGCAGTAGGAAGAGAAATTAAAAAAATCTAATATGATAATTATTTACCCTTACCGGTCTCTAGCTTTTCAGACGTAATTTTCACTAGGTCGTAGCTGGGTTCGGTAATATTTATCGAAATCTCTTTTAATAAAATATTATAATCTTTTTTACATATATCATACTTATTTTTTAACCACTTTCACAATTTTCCTAGCTATCATTCTTATCGAAAATGTTAATATTTTCTTACTTAAATAAAGATTGGTTTGATCGTTATCAGCTTCCAGGTGACTTTCGACCGCAGCGTCAAAGTATTGTTGTCACGCAACAAGTGATTTCCGAAAAGGATTAAAATTCTTGAAAGGTTATTAGGCTGGAATAAGCTTGCACTATTTGAATAATATAAGATAAGATAGTTAAAAGATGTCGTAGGAATCGCAATTCTGAACATATTTATGTTGTCACATACTTGATATTGGTTAGGGAGTCTTTATGAATCCACGATGCATAAACTAAGCGATTACCATTTTTTACTTGTGTTGCAAGTTTATTTTGGCGATAAATATTTTTCATCTGAGAAATATTGCTAAAATGGAATGATTGACATTTTTCTGAATGGATATTAGGATTTTTGTTAGGGATGTAAGAACATTTTAAAACCGTGATTGATCCAAATAGAACAATTCAAAGTAGGTAAATAAAGTCCTGAAATTCATATAAAAATAATATTTTTTTTACCCTCCCCAACCATTATTTGTATGGTACACTTATATTTGGCACTTTGAAGAAATTATTTGATCTTACCTAGATATCTTATCTACGCATTTGAAATGTATGTTATCTAAGAACCCTATACATTTAAATTAAAAATAACTAATACAAAATATTGTTGAAGAACAATTTGTTTTTATTTCGGCAAATATGTGTAATTCAAACCTAATTATTCACAGCGAAAATGATCTGATTAGTTAAAAAGTGTAAGAATAAAACAAAGATCATGGGGGCATCTTCAATTAATCAATAATTATTATATTGTGCTTAACTCCACGATCATTACTTGTTATTTTTTGGAGATTATTTTATTAAAATATGTTACAAAAGCCTTCATAATTTGCAAATTTACTTTATAAATATTATAAGCACCGAAATTCAATGAATGTAGCCTGGGTTCCAAATTACCTATATTATATACATATTCAAAATTCAAGGCATTCCAATAGCTTAATTAATTGTAATTTTGTTTAATTGTAAATTAATTGTAATGTAGGATTGCGTCATTATAAGTTAGCAACGAAGAAATTATGCACAAAGTAATTAATTCGATATGAACTTGATGATCTTTTGTTTTAAGTCATTATTTACAAATTAGTGTGAAAAAGAATCGTTCAATTCACAAATTAGTATGTAAATATAATCGATACTTATCAAATTTATTCTTTTAAAACATATGACTTTTGATTATTTGGATTGTGAATCACCATCTTCAAAAATGAGTACTATTTTGCATTCAACTACAGGGTCCGGCACTCGAAGTGTAACCAATTGAAAGAGCCATAAATTCAGTTTGGAAAATCAATTTTACTCGATTCAAAGTACAAAATGTGTAAAAATAATACAAAATTTAAGAACAATTCTCTTTTGCCCGACATGACCATTTTTTGCTTTGCCTATGGCCTTTGGACGGTCCAAAAACAAATCGCATTTGGCCGAGCGTGATTTGCAGGTATTTTTCCCACGGGCGGACAACGGCTTTTTTTAGCGCCTTGAGACTGATGTGCCCCTTAGTTTGGACCTTGATCTCCGAAATGGCCCAAAGAGAATAATCCATATGATTTGCGTCTGGTGAATTCGAGAGCCATTGTGCGGACGTTTTGAAGTTCGGAAAGCTGTTTTTCAGCCATTCTTGGTTCACTCGAGCTTCATGAGACGGTGCCGAGTCCTGTTGAAACGTCCATAGTCTGCCACCAAAATGTTTGTCTGCCCATGGTTTCAAAACAACCTTCAGAATACTTTCCCGATAAAATTGCACATTTACCTCGACGCCAGGCTCGATGAAAACGATTGGAGACCGCCTATCTGCGGTTACAGCGGGCCAAACCATATTCTGTGGCATGTGTTGCCTCCTGGTGGTCAGTCGGTGGCTCAAATTCTTGTCTGAACCTTCAGTCAAGTAAACCCTATCGTTTTGAGAGTTTAAGAATTGCTTAATTGTGAAAATTTTCTCGTCGAAAAACACAATGTTCGGAAATTTATCACGTTCGGCCAGGCGAAGCAACTCCTTAGCTCTCTGAAGTCTCACTTGCTACTGCTTCGGCATAAGATCATGTGCCTTTTGGATCTTATAAGGCTTGACCTTGAGATTATTTTTCAGTATGCGGCGGATGCTACGGTCAGATATGTTAAGTTCTTCTGCCATTTAATTGGCACTTCGTCGGGGATTTTGCTCGAGTCGCTTTCTCACTTTTTCGACCATCTCATGTGACGTTGCAGTCTTTGGTGACCACCTTCATGACGTTTTGCGATGCTACCAGTTTCATTGTAACGAGTTATGGTGCGATAAACGAAAACTTTATTCATTTTAAGGTGTTTGAGTCCTCGAACAATCGCTGGTTGTGATTTTCCAGCTAAATATAATGTAATCACTTTGTTACGTTTGAAATCCATTACTGATTTCTTTTTTTCGCGTTCACTGTCGACTAAATACTTTTGTGTGCTCATAAACAATACACCAAACTATCATTTAGCAAACTTACTGATAGTTGGTACTCGTGCATCAGCTACGCGAGCGGTTTAAAGTTGGTTACACTTCGAGTGCCGGACCCTGTAATAGATTTTTTTAATGATAGGTTTTTTCTTAAGGCACTGAGAACATAACAAATGATAAAATACTTCTTCATCCGAATGTTTTGTTTATAGATATTAATTCAAAATTATATTTGAGTTAATGGGATGTTGGTTGTGTAGAAATAAAAATAATATAATTATTAAATAATATTAATATTTCAACTTTTAGTCCACCTTCTCGTAGTGAAACATTGGCCGTTAAGTCATCGTTTGTCATAATTTATTAAAATTGATGGTAAAGATGATTAAATCATTTATTGATGACAACAATCGAATGACAAAAGCAGCCAAATGTGCGCTTGTTGGTAAAAATGTCTGTATGAACTGTGGAAGTCTGAGTAGTAGGTACATCACTGACACTTTAATTATTATTTTTTATGAAATAGTATGATATAACCAGATTCATTTCTTCAAAAATAGGCCCAATATTTGTCACAGGGATATAAGTTGTCGAATTTGTATTCTAATTGAATTGTCCAATTTTTATTAAACTTAGCACAAATAGTGCACTAATTGTTTTCTGGCTATACAATTCGGTAGTCCACATAGTTTTCCCTAGTAATGCGACTGAAACCTTTTCGGTTGGTGACCCCTGGGTTAGACAAAGACCTGATTATAGTAAGCAAAGGACAGCAACGGCAAGTCAGTAGGGTAGTCCTACGCCCTATGACAAAGACAACATCATCACAATGGAAAAAGACAGCAATACAGGATAGAGATTATTCGATATCTCGACATCGAGATGGATTGATTGTACGTGATGTTTTGGCATTTTTTGGGGAAAACGATTTTTTGTACTTGGCGATAAGGGGATTATGAACAGATTTTCTTCTTTAATTTAGTTTATTTGTTATAGCTGACACTATGATGGGTATTTAGATATTTATCTATAGGAAGAAGTAAAGGTCGAGCCAAACTTGATAATAAGACGGGTATACGTATAACCATGAGTAGTTTGGATCAAATTAATTTTGATTTATCTTGAGTTAATTTGGTAGGTGGAGCTTATACTAAAATAAAGTAACAAGAACGAAATAAATCAATTAATGACTTTAACTTTGTTTAGCAGTTTTGGGTGTATCTAGGTAATGCCTCCGCATACTCTACTTAAATTTCTAGAAATGGAACGAATTATTTTATATTACGCTGAAAAAGGTAAGGCATATTAACCAGTTAACTATGGCGCTTGTATAAACTTAGATTAAAAAACAATAAATATAAACACAAAAAAAGGTTTAACCTTTTCCACTCGGATGCCGCCGCTCCGGCAGCAAAATACAAATCGATTTCGGAATTCGCGAGTGTAATGAGAAAATGATTTTTATTGTCAGAAATATGTAATACAACACAACATAATCATTTAAACAAAGCTTATGATGTAATATAACAATATATAAAAAAACATAATTTTTTAAACAAAATTAACAATAGATCTTTGTGAAATCTTTTTTTTCTTGTATTGAGTTTTTCTTTACCTTTCTCTTTCGTATTTTGTTCGACAAGAACAAGACCTACAACCACATGTCACAACCGTACCCAACGCACACTTTTGAAAACAAATAATCTTTATGATTGATTTTCTACTCAAAAAACTAGTTGCTACTAATATCTAACTTACAGCAAAATAACAAACAAAGACATCTATATGTATACAAGTAAAAGTTATTATTAAAAGAAATCCACCAAATTTAGTTTTGACTCTTTAAAAGCAATGTGGAAACTCAATGCAATAATGCAATAATGGAAATGCAATAATGGAAACTTGTTCGAAAAGACATACTTTTCTTTAGACGCTATCTCAAAAGTCTTCCCTATTACAAATAATATTTCTGTAATGGGTACAAATTGAGTTGTGATAGTGACAAATATTCCTATTTTCTATTTCTATTTCAATATTTACATAAAATTTTGAGTATTTAGCAATACTGTATACTTTCTTACCACAACTCTATTTTTTTAAATCGATTGTTTTATTCATAAATTTTTATAAGTTGTGTTGTGTACATATTTTTTCTATTTAATAAATGTTTCGCTACGATATTATATTATTATTTTGACATTCATATTGCTAAATCATATTTTTTTGTTATTCTTGACATTTGCAGCTGGTGTTTTTAATGTGAAAAGTTTTCAGTTAAGATTTATCTGATCTACAAAAATATTGCCCATTGTGTTAAGACCATTTAGAGACCGTGGATGGCCTTGTTAATGTTTGACGGAAATGCATCGTCATATGACCATATAAAATATATCTACATGGACAAATCAACTTCTATAATAAAATCAACAACTATCTCACATACAGGGTGTCCCAGAACTTAACGTGAAAAAAATTAGAAAAAATAATTATCGTTGTTTGGAAATTATGAGCTTTTAAGTGCAATCTAGAGCTTTGATGATATTATCACTATTTTTTGGTTATTGTGGTTAGTGTTTATTATTTTTGTCCATTTAAACTTTGGAACCGTAACAGTGAATAAAATTTCTAAGATCACAGTAAATAATAATAATACAATTAGGGCTTATTCCTATACAGGTAAATTTGGTTTTTAATGAAACGCTCGGTTTATTAAACTAATTTATTTGACTTTGGTTACGTTTAATTTTACTTACTTAATTGCTGCATTGGAGCAGTAATTCGCTCAAACAATTGCCCCAAGTTTTCAAGATTTAAAACTTTTTGTTGAACTATAAATTTAAAATATTTAAAATTGGTCGACTTTGAGAGGTCTTTCTTCAAAAAAAGTAGTATAATGTGTTGGCAAGTTTCATCAAAAGTTGGCGCATTTAATCAGAATTGTAAATTCGTGAAAAATTTCAATAAAAAAAATAAAACCTGTAAATGACATTAGATAAAGTTCTTATTAAATCTTACTATACATATTTCCCATTTTATTAAGGTTTTGCTCAATTCTCCATGTTTGTGTGAAACCGTACTATAGAAGTACCGTGTTATCCGGGGTTCACTTGTATTTAAATGTTTTATAGTTACAATCTCGGTTATATAGGATATTTTTTAAAAAATTCTATTTATATTTCATAAATAATTACAAAATGATGTTTTTAGTAGTATCAGGCCTATACAATGCCAATGTATAAAAACTCACGCAAACGACAAACACGCACGTATGGATTTTCTTCTACGAAAAGTATACCGACAGGTAGTTTGAAGAAGATCCTACTAGGGCTGGACGTAGTCCTAAACTAAAATCGATATTGTAAATAAATGTGTACTTATGTTTGCAATGGATCATACTAGTAAGACTATTTTATAGTTTCATGTTAAAATTTTTTTACGTAACAAATGAACGAAATATTATACGTAACAAAAATAAACTTTAAATTCAATCAATTGACTCTAAATCAAGAGTTATCGAAAGTTGGTTTTTACTAATTGAAGTATAGATTAGTGACTTATTTAGCCGATATCGAGTCACCATCTTCTCCGAAAAGCTCTAAATTCTAACAAATCTTCTAATTCTAGATTTGTTTAACATAATAGATTTAGTATTTTTCAATTTTTATTTCCAAGGGGTTAGTTAATCATATTAGTATAAATTGTAAGTGAGTGTAATATAACTTAAAAGTAAGCAAAAAAAAACAAGATCAACACATTGCTCTACTATTCTGGTCATAAAATCTTTTTCAATTTGTCTAATTATGCAATATATAGGTATGACGCCTTTTTTACTAATTTTTCCATAATTTCAAAGTATGTTCCATGTACTTTTGCCATGTGACTAGTAGTCACTGACTACATGTAACGGGTGGTCCAGGGTGGTCCATCTAGTTGTCCTAGTGATCTAGTGATCTTACGGTTTAGATATTTCTGTAAAGAAAACATATAAAGTATTATACATCGTTAGAAAGGTCTCAAAATTCTTAGTTTTTTTTCCATATATCTCAACTTCGAATTCCGCACGGTGTGGCCTACAGGCAAGTTGCTATCGATAAATTCCAATATTTAAATGAGCCACCCTGCACCACCCGTTATATATACTTGAATCAAATCTAGATTTTATTAAATTGACAACAGGCTCGCCTTTAATAATGTGGTCCTGTGGTCAAGCTTTTTGTTTCGATATGTATCAAATGGAAGTGGAAATGGGAAAAACTCTCACATTACTTCTTCCCTGAATAGAGTCGGAGTTTAACTCAGCTCACAGACCTACCTTAAGATAGTACTACCCATTATTATTCATCAAGGAATTTATCATTTGTATCATTTGACAAAATTTGACGAATCTGAAATATTTAATAAGCTATTGTGATCTGGTTGAGCTCAAAGTAGATTTGAATACGCGTTATTTGGCTTCCACTCTCCAATTCCTTCCTTATGTGATACTGTTGCAATACTATTACTATTACTATATACTATTCAATGAATAACGATACTTTTCGATGAATAAGGATTTAATTATGTAGAAATTTTTAATTCCTATTAATAAGAGATGATACTGACATGAATTTTAAATTTCCTGACTATACAAGTCGATTTTTTATGCTTGTGCTTAAATTTGCTTCTCTATGGCTGGTGCAAAATATTCTATAATAAAAGATCTTATAGATAATGTTTTGTTTATTTTATTTTCTAAATTTTTAATAGAAAATTTAAAAAAAAAACGAAGTTGAGGTGCAACAAATTCACAGAGAGAACAAAGCATCTCAATTATATTGCAAACATATAATTTATGCTAATTGTTTTTTTTTTTCCTCTGGTAGTTTCGAACTTAAGTTTGTCTTTTAATGAAATCCAATGGATTTTGAGAAACTGTTTACCACAAGAACTCGAGATTTTAGTATTGATATTGGTTTCAGCA